GACTAAGCGAAAAGGCTTCCAAGGGAGCTAGAGCTCTTTGAAGATGGCACCTTCTAATTAGTTTTTTTTTAATACCTTCTGAACGCTTATATTTAGAAAACCGAAACCTGGTACGATTAGTTATCCTCCTGAGTTGAATCGATTCAATCAATTGCGAATTTATAGTCCCGGTCATACGCATCCGTTTTGGTTAGATTAACGGTTATTTTAAAGCATACATTTTTTGTATTTAACTTTTAAGCATTCGTTAATTTTTTGTCGTTAACTGGATTATTAAATTTTTAGGTATTGTACTACTAAAAGCTACTCTTACTTTAAGTCTGTAGGATGATACACCGTTTTCTAGAAAAATCGATTTGAAAGTTTTTCGTTTTTTCGTCATGAAAGTTAAATTAATAGGACCTTAATTAGTTTTATAAATTATCTTTTGTTTTAATAAATGCAGCACATAATTCGAAAAAAAGTTTGCGAAAAGAAGCTAAAGATCAGATTGAAACAACATTTTATTTAAAAATTTTCAAATAGAAATTTTTATTACGGTGGAACGAAACTAACACAAAAGAACAAGTATCAATGGTAGATAGTTACAAAAGATGCTGGATGTGATGACCATTCAAAGATATTTCTAAATTCGTTGCAAGCATTTTGTATCCTTCGCCAGAGTTGTGCACGATTTTGTATCGAAACCAAATAAACAAACACTTTTATGTATCTCCAAACACAATAATCGCTAGTATTCAAATCCGGTGACCTTGCTGGCCAAGCAGTTTCTCTTAATCGTTGATGAAGAGCTGTAAATGTTGAGTGAGTCAGAGGGATGATTATGGCTGGGAAATTTTTCAGCGGATTTACGTCGTGCTGCTCGAGCGTTATACCTCATTACCCCACAAACTAAATTCATTAGCGTATCCTCATTAGTAAAAACCATTTTTGTTGAATTGATATTGTTGTATTTGAATGCCACAAAGTAAAAAACTAAAAGATAAACTTCGTGAAACTGACAAAAATTTGATAATGAAAAAAGTAGGTTATACTTCTGTTGACAGTTCAAAGCCAACTACTGCAAAAAATATTAATTTACCTTTTATGGCGAAAAAGCGAAAGAATTTCAAATATATTTTTCTAGAAAACGGTGTATCCTACCGACTTAAAGTAACAGTACCTTTTAGTACTATAGATTGTCTCAAAGTGACTAGTCTGTACAGGGTAAATGCATAACATCGATGCCATACTTATTTGCAAACTTGTAATAAAATAAACGTCACTTCTTACTACTTAGCCTAATCCATCTTTTGTGTTGAGGGTAGCTTAAGTACTAATGCTCACTAGCGACCCTGCCTGGGCTTCCTTCTGTCAGTGGTTCTCAAACATAAATAATATTTGCTACAACATACTTGGGGTAAATTAAAATAAAATATACATTAAAAAATGCCTTTTATTTATGTCACACAAGCAGTTTGTTTTTAATTCTACAGTATGTGCTAGCGATACAAACCATTTGTTTATAGATTTAAATAAAATCAAATAAAATAAAACTAAAATATAAAGAAACATTTTATTTATGTATTGTTCCGTTCAAAAGTTAAGGGGGGAAGCAGTTTTAAAAACCGCACTGTATATGTTGCAGTAACAAAACGTAGAAATATCCGAAAATAAAACTAATAAATAAAATTGAACATAAAAGAAGTCATTGTATTTAATTTCGTGCGTAAGTAATCGTAATTGTACACCATTATATGTAGTTCCTTTTTCTGTCAATCGCTGTCACATTAGCTTCTGCTTAACTATCATCATCATTATTATCGTCACTGTCATCACTATCTCCGTTATTTATATTTATAATAATTGGTTCGATATCATCGAACAAATTGTCAATTTCCCACATTCTTTTTTCTATTGCTATTACGTGGTTTTTCCATTTCTCTGGCGTAATGACCTGATACACTGCTGTAATTAAATTTCACATCTCAGCTTCTTTAAAATTCGCGTTACATCCAGCTATATACCGTTTCACTTCACTCCAAACCATTTCGATGAGATTGAATTCACAGTGATACGGTGGGAGCCTCAGAATCTTCACATTGTGCTTTTTGGCAATATCTTCTATTATGTATGTCATATTTTGCTTTAAAGGCCTTGACTACATCAAGTAATTCGCATTTTAGGTAGTTTTCGTTAAAAAATAGGTCCTTTAACAGAAGCCATTCTTGAATATCTTTTTTTTTAGTGTTGAACTGTTGGGAATTTGTTCTGACTTTCTGCTGTGATAGGAGGCATTGACCATTACCACAACAATTTTTTCTGGCAAATTTAGTATTAAGTCATTTTTGAACCAATCTTCGAAGGTCCGTCCATCCATTTCGTCGTGGTAGTCCGGAGTATTTTTCTTTGCCAAAAACGTGAGCTCTGCTCCATAAACAAATCCACTGGTAGATCCTGCGTGCAATAAAACGAACCGTGCACCACGAGCTATTGGAACTTTTAATCCTGTTGTCAGACCACGAACAAAAACATCGCGATGAGATGTTTTATCCACCCATTCTTTTTTCATACTGCGCCCGATATTTACCCATTATTCATCCAAATACACTATGTTGTATCGTTCTGTACGGTATTTACGAATTGCGCGTATAACGATGACGCCACTAGATAATTTCTGGTTTTTAAATCAAAATTGAATTTCTGCCCCGTTTTATAAACACAAAATCCATATTACTCAACAAGCGATGCAGCGTGGTCCGTGGAAAGTTGGGCAAAGTTTCTTCGACATTTACAACAGCTAATATGGTGTTTATTGTTGGTGGTATATTGTCACGAAAAAATTGATGAACTATTCTACGAATTTGGCCCTTGACACCTTCATCGTACTTGTTGTCACGAAAATTACCAACCTTTCGCCTCTTGGGCCTGCTCTTTGAAGATTGTAATCCAGCAGGTGATGAATATTCCTGTCGTATGCGAAACAGGTCTTTTCGAAAACACCACTCATTTCACACTTTCCTAATTATACTTGATACAGAATTGTTGTTATCCTGATTAAGATAATAATTAATAATATTTGTTAGTATCTGCTTCTCTGAAAGTTTCAGAGCTTTTTCACGTTTCCATTTAACAATTTCCTCCATTTTGCTGTAAAAATTCGGCGTCAAATATAACAATAGCCAACAACAAAAAATAACAATAATTGCCAACAGCAAATCACAACAACAGCCACCAACAAATAATAACAATATCAAAACAGTAACAGTACATCCAAGATGGTACAAATAATCGTAACTCGAATATGTTTAGGGGCTCCGAAGAACAAATAAAGACTAATTAAGACCCTGGATGTATCAAGCTTTTAATTATTAATGTTTATTTAATGCACATTTTATTATACTACTGCTACTATTAAAAGATAAAAGTTGATAAGTTACTATTGAAACAAATAATCTATAGTATGATGTAAAATTATTAGCAAACGATATTTGTAAATTACATAAAATTGTACGTGAGGACTTGTTGAAAACTCCTGGTTTATTCCATTTATTTTGAAAGATAGACAATAGAGAACGCCATCGCTCACTGCATAAAACTGGCAACGTCTTGGCGAAATTCCCATAAGGTTAGCATTGCATATCTTACCCTGTACAGACTAGTCACTTTGAGACAAAGTATAAAATACCTGAAAATTTAATAATCTAGTATCAGGCATGCTTAAAAATTAAAAAATAGTTATTAAGTTAAAATAATCATTGACGCACCCAAAACGGACGCCTATGAGTGGTACTAAAAATTCACAATTGATGGAATCGATTCAACTCTGGAGGATAGATAGTTCGTTTTTCTAAATAGAAGCATTCTGGAGATATAAAAAAAACTAATTACATGGCGCCATCTTCAAAGAGTTCTAGTTTCCTCAGGAAACATTTTCGGACTAGGTGAATTAAGTTAATATTTTGTTGTTTTATTCTTTTTTCAATAAGATTTTAATGTTTTACTTTAAACACTTCTAACAAGGACTGACAAAAATGTTTAGTGATTCAAAGCAAACGATATCTGCATAATTTAAAATTTTAATATATAATTATTGCAAGAAAACATTTTTGTGGTATTCGAAGCCTGAGCGTCGGCGTGAAAGTACAATTTTCTCATCACTAAACCACCAAACTCGATAAATATGTATTGACAAGAGCAAATGCGATTCAACTCATTGTAGAAATTACTCTTGATCAATAATTTAATTTTGAATTAAAAAAATGACTACTAATTAAACTGTATGTTACTTACATTTGCCTTATTACCTTCAATTAGTTTTTACTTTATGCGAAATTTAAAATATATTAATGTTCGACGTCATGCGTATACTTATGACTGAAGTCAACTAGCTCATAAGCTAACGTCGAAAAGTGGGGAACTATCGATAGTGGTAATGTAATGTAAATTATAGGTTTCTATCGTTTTCTATCTTTAGTGTTTTTTGTCGGTTCTCAAGACACTTATCACTGTATACCCGTCGATCAGATAATCAAGCGGCCGGCGCATGACAGCTGAATCGCGTTCACTTCACTGCTACTGATTGAACGGATGAGAGTTCCGGCCCTGGCCAGAAAACAAAAAGGTTGACGTAAGTAGTTTAAAATTCAAAATAAATCTTATACTTACACTGAAATACGCTGGTGTATCGGATCGACCTTTGGATGAAGAGTACGGCAAGAGACGATGGCTTGCATCTTGGTGTTACTCCTTCATAGATCTCTGTCGGAAAAGCAAGTACGCGTAAAAACCAGAATATAGATATATGTAAATAGGAATATATACCACGAAAAATCTCTAATAATTAAAGCATGTACTACTTACGCACGTCTGACCATCCTGGGGATGCCGGCAGGATTTATTTTGTTTGTTTCCTTTTTACAATTCCTTTTTTTCTTTTTGTTAAACTGAAATCGACCGTATGTACCTATTATTTTATATAATTAGGAAAAAAATATAGTAATAATATATTTATTTTTCAGGTGGTGACAATAAATCCTAGTTTTGCTGGGGATACGAAAAAATATGTATATTTTATGTAATGCAATTTTTTGTCTCTCCAAGTACACTAACCACTTGGCTATTAGAGCATGTGATTTAAGACACAATAGTGACTTTTAATTTTTTAGTGGTACATTTTATTTATTGTTTTAACATGTTTTATTTATATTTAGCCGACGTTGTTATAAAATTAATGCAGATAAAGAAAAAGGAACTTATGAGTCTTAGAAAGATACTTTTATACAGAAAAGTTCAAAAATATATAAATATTTATTATGTTGTTGATTGAGTATGGATTTTTCAAATGTATATTTAGGTCAGTTATATTCATATAAATATGTTATGTCCTTTTATGCCTTTTTTATTTCTTCTAAAATCTACATACAAAAATACATATTTACACTGTTGTTATATAATTTTCAGTGCTTTAATTTAAACATACATACAATAAACTGCTAAAATATAATTCACATCTGATTATTAAAAATTACATGACTAAAATCAGGGTTATGTGTTGGACAAACAAATTGGATGCTTTGATCACTTATTAATTTCAAATAGATGAGCAAAATAGCCAAAGAAAACTGTCTTTTTTAAGAACTACTTTTTTTACCCTTGATATTTTGTGCTGCTCTCTACTGCTGTGTTTTATAATGATTTTTAGTTAGTTTTTACGAATTACGGTTATTTCTATATTAATAACTAGAAAAGTTGAACATGGTTTTTTCTTATCTTAAGTCATGGTTCTTTGGTATTTCCGAATGTTGCTGAGAAGCTGTTTATGACTGACATTCCTAACAAGCGTAGTGTTATTGGTGCGGTACGAAAATGAGGATCTGCACTGGTTCTTCTTCGCTGGTGGATAATATAGCTAAATTAGCAGAATTAATTTTGAATTAATTTTAACATATATTTAATTTTAAATTTTAAATATCTCTCTATGTCATTTTTGTATTCTGCTTTGTATTATTTCTTTGATTTTTGACATGAATATTTGCATTTGAACTTTTCTGTATACACACAGGGTCTGACATTTTAGCAATAATATTTATATATATATATATATATATATATATATATATATATATATATATACATATATATACATATATATATATATATATATATATATATATATATATATACAGGGTGGTCCTTAAGTAATTGTACAAAAAGAAACCGCAGATTCTACGCTTTAAAATATAACGATTAAAGTCAACTTGCTTTAATAAAATGTTGATATTAAAAAAGATACAGGGTGTTAAAGTGGAAATTTAAAATTTTATTTTTCGCTATAACTTTCATGTTTGTAAACATTTATGTATAAAAATTTACAACTGGGTACTATTTAATATTAGGAATTATAATTTGATGCATCCTTTGATATAGCCAATAGAGGGCGCCACATATACCACATATGTGGCATACATTTGCACTTAACTTTTTTGTTCTTCAAGTTAGCGGTATTTTTGGTCAAAAATATTAAAGATACATTATTTTAACAAAGAAAAGGTATACTTGTTAATAACTTCAAAACTCAACAGTTTTCGAGATAATCGCATTTTACAAATCAATTGCATAATTCTGATTTAACGCAATTACTCCAGGCAATGAAAGAAAAATAGATAAAAACATCAATACTTCTAAATTTTGTTATAAAATTCCTTTAATAAAGTTAATAGTTAACGAAATATTAAATAAAATAAATATATCAGCAGGATAATTAATAATAGAATTCGATAAAATAACAGAATAATTGGATTTTACATCAAACATTTTACGTTTTGTATTAAATTAAAGTCATAATCAAAACATTTTATTTACAAACCAAATTAAGAAATTGTTAAACTAAATAACATTAAACTTTTTGTCAAAGTAAGTGTTCGGTATGTCCACCATTTTCTTTAATTCATTTGTTAATACATTCTATAAAATATTGTCTCATATTAAATAGCATCATTGGTTCTAAAGAAACAGCTGCAGTACTTATTATAAGTATAACAATAGGTATTCTTTTGGGATTTTTCTGAATTAAATAATTATATTAATATCTTACCACATAATCAAGGAATATGACTATCATGAACAATCCAACGTCCAGGAAAGTTTTTTTTAAATACTCTCACTCCCCCTTCTCTGTAATGTATTGGTATACCATCTTGCATAAACCAAATATTTAGCCTTATGTTTGATGACAATTCTTCCAATAAATCAATAAAATCATTTTATAAAAATCTAAATAAATCTAACCATCCAAATTGCAAGGTAATTCGCATATCTATAAAATACCATTCAAAATTCATATTTAAAATGCATGTCCTATGGTTTGGAATCATTGGTAATTATTTTTTACGGATATGCGAATTACTTTGCAATTTGAATGTCGAAATTTATTTACATTTTTTATAAAATTATTTTATTGATTTATTCAAAGAATTGTCATCAAACTTAAGGCGAAATATGTGGTTTCTACAAGATGGTACACCATTACGTTACAGAGAAACTGGAGTGAGACAGTGTTTAAAAACAACTTTCCTGAACTTTGGATTGTTCGTGGTAGTCATATTCTTGTGGTGAGATATTAATATAATTATTTAATTCGTAAAAATTTCTTATTATTATACGTATAACACTTATAATAAATACTGCAGCAGTTTCTTTAGAACCAATGATGATATTTAATATGAGACGATATTTTATGGAATGTATTGACAAATGAATTAAAGAAAATGGTAGACATATTGAACACTTACTTGGACAAAAAGTTCAACGTTATTTAGTTTAACTATTTCTTAATTTGGTTTGTTAATTAAATGTTTTGATTATGCCTTTAATTTAATACAAAACGTAAAATGTTTAATGTAAAATGCAATTATTCTGTTATTTATCAAATCCTGTTATTTTATCCTGCTGATATATTTATTTTATTTAATAATTCGTTAACTATTAACTTTATTAAAGGTATTGTATACCAAAATTCAGAAGTATTGATGTTTTTCTTTAATTTTCTTTCGTTGTCTGGAGTAATTGCGATAAATCAGAATTATGTAGTTGATTTCTAAAATGCGATTATCTCGAAAACTGTTGAGTTTTGAGGATATTAAGAAGTATACCTTTTTTTTGTTAAAATAATGTATCTTTAATATTTTTTAATAAAAATACCCATAACTTGAGGAGCAAAAAAGTTAAGTGCAAATATATGCCACGTATGTGGCATATGTGGCGCCCTCTATCAGATACATCAAAGTATACATCAAATTAAAATTTCTGATATTTAATACTACCCAGTTGTAAATTTTTATACATAAATATTGACAAACATAAAAGTTATAGCAAAAAATAAAATTTTAAAATTCCACTTTAACACCCTGTATTTTTCTTAATATTAACATTTTATTAAAGCAACTTGACTTAAATCGTAATATTTTAAAGTGTAGAATCTACGGTTTCTTTTTGTACAATTACTTAAGGACCACCCTGTATATATATATATATATATATATATATATATATATATATATATATATATATATATAATTGGGAATTCATATGATAATTAGGTTTATTATTGCAAGTCAAGATTAGAATTGTGGTTTTATCAAATGAGTTGAATTAATTTTAAGCAATCTTAAATATACAATTGTATCACCTCTTGTGCTGAAATTTTGCTGTGTAAACTTTCTACTACTATAAAACAAAAAACTGTAAATAACATAAAATATAAACAATGCCAAAGATTTTTAAAACTGCTAAATTCTTACTAAAGTGAATTCTAATTGGAACAACTAGTACATGAAATCAGTTTTAACAAGAATTTCTTTTTAATATTTTTAAAAATGTCTGGCCATCACTTATAAGACACGCGACTTGAATCAGAAACTTTAGTTCTTACCAAAGAACTGTTTCTAACATATTCATTAAGTCTCTTTAACCAAGTTTCAATGACCAATTAAAATATAAACAAATTTTACTCATTGAATGCAGAGGATGGGCGATTATGGTTTAGTGGCAACTTAAGTAAAAGCAATAGGCGGAATCAAACACGATGAAAATATAAATATGTATCGGATATCAAGTAATTTTATGTAAACTGAAATTAGAGATGAGGAAAAAGGTAAATGAGAGAGACCGCCAGAGATGTGGTAAACTAAAATGGAAAGGGGGAATTCTGGTTACAAGAGTCATTTCCACAGGAAAAATGGTTAATTTTTCGAAATTTGTACTTACAAAATCAATGTTGTATTCAATGTTGATTTTTAATTTTTCTTATAACTGCATTTTCTTGTCGATTCAATGTCTGGCTTCTAGGTTCTCGGGACTAATTCAGCTCCTATACGCTCCGGTGTGAGGCAGCATATTAAAATGGAAGGTAAGCTGAGTGAAAAACGAACCGGGTCGATTGGATTTTCTTTTTTCCAACTTAACCATTCTAGCCAAACCTAACCCAGCATACCTAACCTACCCATAGACGTAAAATATATATAGACTCAGCTCTGCAATACATACCCGTTCCCCCAGTGCTACAGAGAATACTGAAGCAAAGCAGTCATTGAATCTCTTTCTAATGGGCCGGGTTTATCGACCTAAATGAACAATGGGAAGGTCATGTGGTCGATAAACCCGATCCTTTAGAAAAATATGCAGGGACTGGTTTGTGTCAGTTACCTATGTCGCACTGAGGTAACTGACACAATGAGGTAACGATTCCAACCATAGGGTAGACCTCTTCGATAGGTGTCGATTTCAGGCAGCGAGATATACGAACCGTTTCATTTAACGCAACATCGACGTTTTTAGCGTGAGCAGAGTTTTCCCACACTGGTGCTCCAAACTCGGCGGCAGAAAAACATAATGCTAAGGCAGAGGTACGGAGAGTGTGTGGTTGTGCTCCCCATTTTGTGTTTGTAAGTTTGCGGATGATATTATTTCTGCCGCTTACTTTTTTCTTGATATCTTGACAGTAATATCGATAAGACAGAGTTCTATCCAGACGTACGCCGAGGTATTTTGGCGTCTCATTGTGTTCCAGCATCTGACCACGCCATTCCACCTCCAGTGTCCTTTCTTGTTTCTAAGGCGGAAAGCACACACCTGGATTTTTGTAGGATTGGGTTTCAGATGGTTTTCGTAATAGTATAGTACTAAGTCTTCTAGGGCCTCTGTCAGTAATTTCATGATTTTTGTCACTCATTATCGATTTCCGGGTATCTATATCAATAATATCCTATGTTCTTGCAGTGTTATTAAATTGTCCAGAAAAC